AAGAAGGATTTAAATGGAGGATTGTCCATGAAGGATTTCAAAAGAAATGAACAAACAAATAATAAGTAACATACTTCCCAAATAATTAACAAATCTTCATATGCCTCAATATTTGATAAAATCGGCTACAGGACGTTTTCTCCTAGTTAGATCATGTCTGTAGTTAAACTTTATTGAACCGTGAGCGTCCTTTAGAATTTTGGCTAGTCGTTTGCGCGATGTTTGTTGAATATTTTCGTTACTGCGCGCCTTACGAGCGAACAATCGGAAACAGAAAAGACAAAGAACGCGCGCGAAAGTGATGTGTGTGTGAGAGAGAGAGGGAGAGAGAGAGAGTGAGCGTCCCTCGAGTTAACTGTAACGTGGAAATTTGCCGTCAAACTTGCCCTAACGAGCACTGTCGTGCATTTATTCTCGTAACGAGCATCGCGGTGGATTTATTCGCGCGGCGACACGATCGCGATAAACCGCGCGCCGTGCTTTATTGGCGAAGATATACAACTCTGGATCGCTCGTAGTTATAAAATATTTGCCGGTTTCGGATGCGCGATGCATCCTTCCGTTCTTCCCTTCAGTCTTCCCGTTCATTCCCGTGAAATCCGTGCAGTCAGATGTTCGACTGTGTTATTGTTGCGAGATACGCGCGCGCGTATATTGATTAAAAAAAAAACTCCAAAGCTTCAGTGAAAAGTGTCCAAATTAATCGAAAAATATTTCGCTATCGGAAACCCGCTTACAGCGGATACAAACATGTACGTGCATACACGGAGCGCGCTTATGCACACACAGCAGTGTAAAACTTGTTATGGAAATTGGATTTTGATATTTCTGCAACTTTTACGTATATTTACATCGTTCTCGTGGCCGTAGGTTTTGCGTGTGGTGTATACTATTTTGTAATACGATATATAAATACATACATACTCCATGCGCACGTCGCAGTTGACGCGAGAGCGCGTGAATTAAAGCACATCCATCAAAATCAAAACGATACGAAGCTCAAATTTAGCATCGTTCGAAATTCGTCATGTCGAATTCGCCGTTCCGTTAAACCGGCCGCACGTTGTACGCGCAGAGAGAATGTTTGACGTTATAGCTTTTATTTCTTCATATGAGTTCTGTTCAGTCACTCTCTAACGGCGATGCGATTTTTTATGCACTGGAAGGTAGAAGTCACGAAGCTTTCAAATCTCATACGCCGCAAAACTTCAACGTTTTCGTGGTCTTTTTGATTAAAAATGTTTTGAATTTGCTGCCTCTGGAACCCTATAAGTTTGGAACGGAAGTGAAACTTATGTATTCGTTTTCAGCGAGAGCTCGCAATTGACGCGAGAGCGCGTGAATTAAAGCACATCCATCAAAATCAAAACAATAGCTCAAATGTAGCATTGTTTCGAAATTCGTCATGTCGAATTCGCCGCAATGCGTTCCGTTAAACCGGTCGCACGTTGTACGCGCAGAGAGAATGTTTGACGTTATAACTTTTATTTCTTCATATGAGTTCTGTTCAGTCACTCTCTAACGGCGATGCGATTTTTTATGCACTGGAAGGTAAAAGTCACGAAGCTTTCAAATCTCACACGCCGCAAAACTTCAACGTTTTCGTGGTCTTTTTGATTAAAAATGTTTTGAATTTGCTGCCTCTGGAACTCTATAAGTTTGGAACGGAAGTGAAACTTATGTATTCGTTTTCAGCGAGAGCTCGCAATTGACGCGAGAGCGCGTGAATTAAAGCACATCCATCAAAATCAAAACAATAGCTCAAATGTAGCATTGTTTCGAAATTCGTCATGTCGAATTCGCCGCAATGCGTTCCGTTAAACCGGTCGCACGTTGTACGCGCAGAGAGAATGTTTGACGTTATAACTTTTATTTCTTCATATGAGTTCTGTTCAGTCACTCTCTAACGGCGATGCGATTTTTTATGCACTGGAAGGTAAAAGTCACGAAGCTTTCAAATCTCACACGCCGCAAAACTTCAACGTTTTCGTGGTCTTTTTGATTAAAAATGTTTTGAATTTGCTGCCTCTGGAACTCTATAAGTTTGGAACGGAAGTGAAACTTATGTATTCGTTTTCAGCAAAAGCTGTTTCATTTCAACTCCTCATTTCCCTAACTAGATTGGGGGAACATTTTGGCCGCACTCTTTCGCCAAGAATATAGCAAATTTTTTTAACGGCACATTAAAGTTCCTCAAATGTATAAGCAGCACATGATGATGTGAAAAGATTAATGTAAAAATCACGGTGGAATGTCGATTCGTTGCTCGGTTGGAAAATGCTGCGATGATTTGTACCGCAAAATTCTCTCCCCGTCGTAAATTTCGCCAGGGGAACGTAGCGAATTTTTCGATACCGCACTTCACTTCCTGGAGTGCTACAAGTAGCACGGATGAAATGAAAGGACAATGCATTAACGCGGAGTGTCGATGTCATACAAAGTCCTGCAGTGACTCTCGCTATAGAATTCTCTCTGCGTGCACGTTGATAGAACGTGTTTTCACAAGACGCCTCGCTGCCGTAACGAGTATCCTGACTCTTTTTTTCCTCTCGAGCCCCGACGACGATGTTGCTCCACTATGGTTGTTTACAAATCCTCGCGTAGGCGGCGTACATGTGCGTGAAACACGCGTCATGCGCATGCGTGCGTGCGTGCGTGCCACTTACGTGCCTCGAAGCCTGCGGATTTGCTCGCGATCAGATTCGCGATATTCATTTCCGTATCCCTGGATTCGATCGCGCTTTTCTGTTTTTATTCTTTTAGATCTGTCACAACGACGAGAGATGCGCGCGCGCGCGCTTCATGGCGACAGAGATGCTCGCGCCGGTACGTTAGTGAATTTTCGCCGCACAGGAAAGAGGCATAGGTTATTGATTATCGTGAATGGCTTTATAAATAACTGATCGTGTAGGAGCACCCGCCGGGAGACGCGTAAATATCGCTCGGCGAGTCGTTCTTTAAAATCGCCGCCGCCGTTGTTTTCGGTGAGGAGGGATCGATGGATCTCGTATTGTTGATTGTCGAATCTGATCTCCGCGTCTGTTCGCGCGCGATTGGGAAAATCGCTCGTGCTCGCTCACATCAACGGAAACTGAAAGCGCGCGCGAAGGCAGATGAATTAAATATGCCGTTTCCGCGAAAATGGGCTCTTCCGCGAGACTGCGATAATGAGATCTTGTTTCGCAGCGGCGATTGGCTCGAAAATTTTCGGATTTTACATCGAATAATCTGTCTCGGCACGCGTGTAACACCGGCAAAATAACTTCGGAAAATGCGCCATCAATTCTCTCTCGTCTCCCCCGTCCTCTCTTTCTCTCTCTCTTCTTTTATCGAACTCTATTAACGAGCTGCAACGTGTAATTTAATCCAAGCGTGTTCTGCATTTTCGGACGATCACTCTCTTTTTTCCCAGCCGCGAGGATTTATGGAATTTTCCGACCGGTTATTAATTCGCGCGGCCAAAAATGGAACTCACGAGCGCGTTCCAGAAATCCACTTACGCACGAGAAAGGAACTCATTGACGCGCAACGCGAGACAAAATTACGGATTGCGCGTTCTTCGTTCGCTCGAAGATAAATGCGTGGGGAAAAATTTCGCGACGGAAGCTTTTTTCGCAGGTCTCTTGCGTTGGTTGCATCACCGAGAGAGAGAGAGAGAGAGAGAGAGAGAGAGAGAGAGAGAGAGAGAGAGAGAGAGAGGGGGAGAGAGAAGGAAGGACTCGAGTGTCATGATCGATTAGGAATGTCCTCGTGAATTGCCGAAGATACCGACGCGCGATACATGGAACGACAGTAATAGATTGACCGGAAGTGAGTCGTCCATTGTAACCGTGCGTACACGGGATCTCTTCTGTACGAATAATCTCCCGCTGCTACTATCACCACTTCACTATCACTAGTGCCGTTACGAATGCGAATATACGTGCGCGAGAGTGCGGGTTGGTGCCGCTGATAAATGAAAATTACTGTGCGTAATGCGATGATGGCTCGTTCGTCCTGAAATCTAATGTACGCGGGGAAAACTATTATGGTCGCTGCAACCACGTTCTCTGCCGTTAGAAAAGGATTTGAGTGAGTCGGAGTTAACACTGAGCGCCAGTAACGCGCCTTTCATTCTTAATTCACATTCAAAATTACACATGAACCGCGTTAACAGCGAAACAAAGAGAGAGAGAGAGAGAGAGAGACAGAGAGAGAGCAATGACTACCCTACGTTAAGTGACTTAACCCATTGACACCCAAATGAAATTTTACGTTGATTTAAGCCATTTATTTTATTACGGAAATAAGGTCTGTTATTTATAAAGAGTACCATTCCTACCAATTTTGATGTTGCTCTATCGAATAGTGTTGAGAAAATTAAAAAAAAATTGTAATTTATGCAAAATTTTTGCAAAATAAAATTAAAAAACGCATGTTTTTAGGGCTAATTTTTTTGTCCTTTCGCTATTTTCTCCATAAAAACGTGTTAGTATCGTTCGGGAAAGTATCTAAAACGTGTTCCCGATATTTTAACTTAAAAAATATGCCATGGGTTTTTTTTTCAACAAACATGGCGGTACCAAAATGACGCTTGATTTGAAGTGTTTAACTCGAATTTTCGTTTATATTTGGTTATCTAAATTGTTTTAGGGTCAATATTACTACAAAATTATATAGTAATTTACATAATAATTACATAGTAAAACAATTTCGATAACTAAATATAAATGAAAATTCAAATTAAACGCTTCAAATTGACCGCCATGTTTGTTAAAAAAAATACTCATGGCATATTTTTTAAGTTACAGTGTCGGGAACATGTTTTAGACACTTTCCCAAACGATACTAACATGTTTTTATGGTGAAAATAGCGGAAGAAGAAAAATTAGCCCTAAAAACATGCGTTTTTTAAATTTTATTTTGCAAAAAATTTGCATAAATTACGATTCTTTTGAAATTTTCTCAACGCTATTCGATAGAGCGACATCGAAATTGGTAGAAATGGTACTCTTAACAACAGACCTCATTTCCGTAGTAATTTCCGTATAAAATGGTTCAAATCAACGTAAAATTTCAGCACATTTGAGCGTTAATAATTAATACACTTTTCATCAATTTCCTCAGTACAGTTTAATTATTTGGTAGATGTATGTACAACACATAAAATGAGCGTGTCACTAGCAGAGTTAAACAGATATTGCATGAAAAATTGCTGCTGGCACACGCGTCCCATCTGTTCAGTTCTCACAGCCGTAGTTCTTATCACACGTAACGTTCAATTGGCATTTTCATCCGAAGCTGCCTCAACCAGAAGGACAGGTCGGTTCTGTTGAGCTGAGTCAATGTTGCACTACAAATTCGCTTTTTTCCTTTTTCCCTCAACGCCACATTATATACTTGCTTCACTTTAAAGTGCTTGATCCACAGCTGTGCGCTCCTTGCTTCCTGTTCCTTACTCATTATTTCTTTCTGACTCAAACCTTAAGTCCCAAGCCAGAAAAAGACCAAGAACAAGAAACATAAAGCAAAGAACATATTGTAGATCAGATTTAAAGATGAAAAATGCAAACAAAGTTCAGTTGAAAAGAACAAACCTAACATCAGTGTTTCTCTGTCATGTCTGCGTGGCGAATACAGAACCATAGGTTTTGGTTGCGCTATACAGCACCGAGAGTTTCTCTCAAACACAGATGAGCAAGCCACAAACAAGGCCGGCTCCAGATTATTATGGCTTCTACGACCCCTCTCTGTATGCGCATGGGCGAAAAATAACATTAATATTGTGTCTGGGTAGCCGGTATCGATATCCCCGGTGTTTTCTCCGTGTATGCGTTCTCCCGGAAATTAAAGGGACTCTTTCTCATCGAGATTAAAATTGCCTTCGCCTGCAGGCCTCTCTTTCCCTCTCTCTCTCTCTCCCGCCTAGACCGCACACTCTCCTCATCATCGGCGACACCGGCCTGTCGAAAACGCTTCCTTCTGTTCGTTAACGTCGGTCGAGGCACTGGCGAAGGGTTAAAAGAAACTCACACGCGGGAGAATTCATATACACGAAGCACGAAGGAGATCAATAAGCGCGCACTGTGCGCGCTGTCCTCGTACGCGACGTTACGTAAACTGAAATTAGAAAAAAAATTACTCACTCGTGCGCGGTTTACCGAGCACAAAAGAAAGAAAGAAAGACAAGAAGAGACGACACAAGCAGGGGAAAAAAGAAGTCGCACAGTGTGCGCGTGAAGATCAATCAGGTCAGTCGAGGAGTCGCGTATGAGCTTATCCGTCGTTATATGCCCGAGTTGCAATTTTGATCCTTCTCTTTCGACCTCGATATTCCATTTAACGCTTATTTGGACAGCACTCTGAAACCCATGTCAAAATTTTTTGATTTTACTTAATCCACTAGCTTCGCCGAGATTGTTGAGAACCTGCAAGTAATGTTTTGTGCGCTTTCTGCCGCACTGAGAGAAAAATGTGATATTTGGAACTATAATGGCATAGTAAAAAGATTATAGTTAGGAATATCATTTTTATAATAAACGCCACCATAATGTTTGTAATATTTACAATATAAGCATAGTATAACTGACTCATGTAAAATTTTTACCAAGAATTATTGTTATTTGAAATAAAAAACATAGTAAGATAACAAATATTAAACAGTAAGGGAAATTAACTATTTTATATAGTCAATACAATTGGAATATTTGGAAAATATGGGTACACGTAACTATATTCCTAAAGCGTGCTTTACTATACACATAGAGCGATAAGATGGTGACTATAAATCTGTGTTTATTCTGCTATATTTTTGTGTTTAGATAAACTATAAATATATGTTTGAGGCCAAAACGAACTATAAAATATAGTGAGATTATAGTTATTCCAACTATTTTTTTCTCTCAGTGCATTTAGAGGCGCTAAGTAGGTTTTCAGTTTTCATGCGTATCACATATCTACTAATCCTTTAGAATATGTTAGAAAAAAGTTATACATAGACTTGATCTAGATCTTAGTTTAACTTAACAAACGAAATAGTATCTGATTTTAGTAAATAAAAACTTCTGAATGAAGACTAAATTATTACACATCATGTTATCAATTTTTTTATTGTCTTTGAAGTAACAACTTTTTTGAGTCTCACAATCTATCAGAACTGTTTGATTGAGAAGAATTTTCAAATCTAATTTCTGATTTCATGTGTAATTTAGAAGAGAAGAAGCAAGAGGCAAGAATTTGGCTCGAGAAAGTTGCTCTTGATTAGTTTAACATTAGTGCTTTCATTAGTCTAAACTTCATTAGTTTTCATCAAAAAAGGAAAGAAAAAAAATCAGTTTAAAATCCAGGACTGTAGCCTTTGTTGAAACATGAAATTTCACTAGACTCCACAGTGTGTTGTCGCGGAATGGAAGTGTCAAGGACCGCACCTGCAAGAAACGGCGGAACAAATTTTAGGCATGATTCTGTAGGCGCGTGGATCCGTGCACGCCATCGATTGGGAATCAAATTAATTTCGACGAGCGAGACAATTCGCGAACAGTGTCCTCCATTCCAGCCCTAAACCATCGGCGTTCCGTGTTGTTAAAAGCGACATTAAAAACAGCGCTATATGTGCAACTCTGTCCATAAGTCACCGGCCACTCGATAAATGTCAGCGTTGTCGTTTACTTTTTTAATTACACAACGGATATTAACGAAGCGGCACAAAAGCGTGATAATGACATTAATTCGCTCGGGGAAAAACGAGCCGTGAAATCTGCTAGTCGGTGGCACGCGTAACAGTAGCAGCAGCAGCAGCAGCGATATTTACGGAAAAACGCAGGAGGCGAGCCAATAATCGCGAAATTAATTGCGCCACTCATCTCGCAACTTTTCTTCGTGCTCGACTTCTTCATGCTGAATAATTTCGCGACGTGAAGAAGAAAATAAACATCTCGCGTGGGAGCTCCCGTCGCGGGGAATATCGTGAGCGCAATAAATTCTTGACCGCGGTTGTCGCAGCACACGGAAAGAGAGAGAAAGAGTGAGAGAGAGGGGGAGAGAGAGAGAGAGAGGTGAAATTACGGACAGATACTGAACTGTACTCCAGCGAGATGGAGAAACGGGGGCGAAAGAGATGAGACTGCGCGAGGAGACCAGCTCAACTCGGTCGATTACAATCTCGATGACCGTATTAATGTAACTTTGTGCGTGCAAACAATGCGGCGATGCAGTTTGCGTTTAGTCGAGAGTTAAATTCCCGGTAAATATTGGAAGTTCATGCGATCATCGTTCGCTACGTACACAGAACGCGCTCAGCGTTGCTCGATCTCGGCTAGATTTTCCGAGCACGATCGTTCAATGCGTAACGACCGTCGTATAGCCGCCGTCATACGTAAAAAGACCGCTGAAAAACATTTTTAAAAGCGTAATTAAGAGTAATGGGGACCGTCATATCGGACGTCATATTCGTGACTCGGCCTCTTTGTGTGGGTTTTCCGTGTGGATTGCGCGTCGATGTGTGTGTGTACGTGTGTGTGTTATTCGAACCTTCGGCACTCGCGAATCCATCGCGCGGTAATGGAGTCCGAATTGTTCTTTCAACGACACCTCGCGATGTCCACCTGGCCCCGTCAACTGTCGACGATGGATCCCTCATTGTTCTCGATTAATTTGTCCACGCGTTTCAACGCCGGCTACTGAACGCGATCGGCTTTCAGTTGCGATCATCTGTATCTCGCTTTCGCGGCGCGGGGAGACCCACTGAGGCCTCCATGTGAAGATAAACGAAGGTGGGCGTGCATTGTGCCGAAAAATCGTGACCTCGAAACTCCGAAAGTGGGAAAAGCTTCCGAAAATAAAAATTCGTAATATCGAAATCCGAATACACCCAGACAGTATCACCATTTTCTCGATATACAATGGCTTCGAAGTGGAGAAATTGTCACTTCGAAAACACACGAGTGTATCGATGTCCACCCAGCTGGGTGCTCCCTTGCTGTGCTCGAATGAGTACATCAAGGCATAGGACGGTTCGGACGCATTTCGAGCACTGAAGTTGCAACGCTTCAGATGTCAAAATTGAGAGGCACTGCTGACGCATTTGCATATGAATCAATTGTGACAAGAGCCGAAGTGACGGAACAGGGTGCGAAAATGAACGTAACATAACGTGATTATGTGATGATAATAGTGCTAATACACCCTGTTGTTTCGCTCGAGCTTGGAGTGGATTCTGACTCTGTATGCAAGCGAATGTTTCAGTCGATTAGGCGAATATGTTCCTATGACGGTGGAACACATCGAATTTACCTTCCAATTTTGAGTGAAAATATTCATTCAACGATTCAAGGTGGAGAACGCACTCCATACGAGTGAGAAATCACTCGAATTCGAGTGACTCGAGAGTCATTCGATTTTTTCGAATGGGATTTCACTCCAAAACATTTGGGTAGTAAACACTTGGGTATTTGTTTCAAATATTTGATAAATTTATATATTCACAACTATCGCAGAAGTTCATCATGAGCATCAAATTTATTCAAAATACTAGGTCGTTGCATAATCGCTGTCATAATTTTGGATAAATTTAAAATTGACATAATTTATAATATTAATATAATTTTGAGAAAAAGTTTATTTTATTAATAGCATCTTAACCATCATTATCTCTACAATTTGTAAAAGTGATGTGCAATAAAATAACCGCAACGCAATTAAAAACAAATTTAATAGTAATTTATTGTGTGTCGAGGATAAAGCGCGCGATATACGACAGAAATTACACAATAATTTAATAAATTCTGAATTCTCGTGCACGAAAAAAATGATAAAAAAACTTTCAATATTGAATCTGGTTGTCACAACAGGATTTATGTGCGAGCCAACCATACTTTGTCAACATGTTTTTTCGTTTTTCCGTGCGAGTTTAACGTTTTAATTAAGAATGTTAAATTGACGCAAAAATTCATTTTGCTTTCTGCAGGAAGAGTCGAGTTGACTTTTCTAAACAACTTCTACTTAACTTTTCTGTGACAAAGTTTTATAATAACCTGACAAAGATAATAAATAAATTCTTCTTTTGCGAGATACTTTGTAACAATGAGTTTTTCTAGTATTTATGATGAGTATATTTTAAGTGTTAGAGAGAAAAATAGTTTTTATCGAAGTTAATCAAAGAACTTGAAGGAAGAAAATTAAACTGATCGTTTTTCTTATCAATGGAGCGGTATTTTTTTATATATGAATAGTAACACATCAGACTCCGTGTAACCAATACAATTTTAGTATTTCAGTAAAATCATATTATGGGAAATTGTCTCGGCATTCGGATTTCGGTTTTAGGACTTTCCAGGAAATAGTGCCTCAGTTTTCTGAATTTCGTTGCACTTTTTTTTAGGACAATGCATGTCCGTCTAGATGAGAGCGGATGTCGTCGGGGAGGAGCAATTCCCAGGTAGATACGCGGGTCTAATTGAACGAAACGATAGGATATATCCTTTTTTCGATCGACGTCGTTTTTCTTCTATTTTTTCTTTTTTTCCCAACTCATCGTTAGTTATCGCGAATGCCCGATTAATCGGTCCGATTAATGCGTTTCGAATGCAGTTGAAAAGTAATATAGCGGTTAATTTGCGCACACGAGAGTTTCCAGTAAATTACCTATAAATACGTATCGCTAAAGGTTACACGCAATTTGCCGGAAAATTCGTGAACTCGATGGAAACTATTTGGTTCGCTCCGACAACTGTCGTGTGCGTGCGTGTACATACACCTATGAAAATATCGCACTTTCTCTCTCTCTCTCTTTCTAGATGTCACACCTCTTTACCACTAAGGCAAACTTTGCCGGGATTTTGTTGAAATTCGTGCGCTCAGGCCGGCGATCTAATTAACGCGAGTTTACGTGAAATCTCGTTGGCAACTCACTGCGACTTGTTATTCTTTAATGAGTGTCTACGACTAGTAATGTAATATATCGCAGACATTTGTGAGTGAGTGAGTAAGCGAGTGAGTGGATGAGTGAATAAGTAAATAAGAGAATGAGTGAGTGCACTGAGAGAAAAAAATAGTTGGAACAACTAAAATCTCTCTATATTTTATAGTTCATTTTGACCTCAAACATATATTTATAGTTCATCTAAACATGAAGATATAGCAGAATGAACACAGATTTATAGTCACCATTTTATTACTCTATGCATATAGTAAAGCACTTTGAGAATATAATTACATGTACCTATATTTGCCAAATATTTCAATTGTATTGACTATATAAAATAGTTAATTTCTCTTACTATTCAATATTTGTTACCTCACTATATTTTTTATTTCAAATAATTATAATTCTTGGTGAAAGTTTTACCAATGGGTCAGTAATACTATGCTTATATTGTAAATATTACAAACAATATGGTGACATTTACTATAACAATGATATTTCTAACTATAATCTTTTTAGTATGCCATTATAGTTCCAAATATCATACATTTTTCTCTCAGAGTGAATGAATGAGTGAGTGAGTGAGTGAGTGTGTGCGTGCGTGTGCGTGCGTGCGTGCGTGCGTGTGTGTGTGTGTGTGTGTGT